TACTACTACTACTATAATAACTACTAACTACTAACTACTACTAACCGCGACTACTACTACTACTACTACTACTACTACTACTACTACTACTACTACTACTACGACTACGACTACGACTACGACTACGACTACGACTACGACTATACGACTACAACTACGATTACGACTACGACTACGACTACGACTACGACTACGACTACGACTACGACTACGACTACGACTACGACGACTACTACGACGACTACTACTACGGCTACTACTACTCTGCTACTACTCCTCCTCCTGCTGCTGCTGCTGCGACCACTGGTGCTGGAACTGCTGCTGCTGCTGCTGCTGCTGCTGCTGCTGCTGCTCTCGTATTACGTCGACCAAGACGACTAACTCCTGCTGACTATATCGCTACTACGATGGAGCCTTCTGGAAACTCTGCTAAGTCTACCCACATTCTCAAGAACAACGGACAGCAAACTCGTGATGAGGTTCACCATAGCAAATGCCACGTCCAGCCAGCCCATGCAATGGCATCGCCCTACTTCTGAAATCTCCGAACATTCTCCGATGCTTGCTGAGGTGATGGCACGCTCTGGACCCTACAGCGCAAACGGTGCCGACTCCCAGAAGCGTACCTTGGCAGAGCCTGTGGTTCCTGGTCTTCGAAGGACATGATGCTCGTCCCGGGTGCTAAACTTAAAGTGATGGTACACGCGTCCGATGCAGTGCGATAGTCAGAAGATATGTCGAAGAAAGACAGAACATGTCTTATTCTGTGAAGAGGTTTAGCAGTGAGCAACAGTCCGTAGTCTCGATGATCGGCGCAGTACATGGGCAGGAGTCCGAATTTACCACTTCTGGGGCTCAGTGGCGGAGTTAGCTGACTTCATTTTCGGCTTCTGTTTGGCATCATTCGTTTTGAAACTTTAACTTGGCACAATCTTGCATGTCTACGAAGTCGCACGCACCGCGTTCAGACATTTAGCAGTTCAGGCCCCGGCTGGTGTGAACCAAACAACATGGGAGTTTCCAAAAATTGGGGTACCTTATGTTGGGGGTCCTTATAATAAGGATCCTATTATTTAGGGTACTATATTAGGGTCCCCTATTTTCGGAAACCCCCACATCATGCAGCTAGGGCTACAAGTCCTGAAGTCCTTCATGGGACTAGGGCCGGCGAGCAGGTAAGTGGCCTGGAAAGTCGATCGTTACTCTACTAGCATCAAGAAATAAGTATTGCAGACCCAGCTTCTTTTCGCGGCCTTCCCGCTGCCCAGTGAAGGTCACTAGCACTCACTGCCTACGATGCCACTCGGAGCAAGCAAAGTGGTTCCTGCATTGTTGGTCGAGGCTTTGGTGTAATGCCCCTTGTCACAGGGATTTCGTGAGCTGCTGTAGTCGCTGCAAGCAAACTAGTGACTACAGTAGCAACCATTGCCGTCTGAACCCGAAGCCCTACAATACTAGCATGCCATAGTCAGCATACAGCGGCAGCCTGTTCTGCTGCTGCTGCTGCTACTGCTGCTGCTGCTACTACTACTACTACTACTGCTGTTGCGACTGCGACTTGCTTCAACGACTATCACCAGTTGTGCTAGTTGCCCATTGATCCTTCCAGGCTGTACCTTTTCACAACCATCATCATCGTCATTATTCTTATCATCATATTTTCTGCATCCTCAGCATCCTTCCGGTCCGATGGTCGTCCCCTGACCGTGGATCATCGAACTCTCCGTGATTCTGTTCCACATTTCCCCTCATCAGGAGCATCAGTGCCAAACTGCGTCCTGCGGTATCCTATTATGACAGTGTGAAGTGCGCACAGCCAGGCTTCCCTGTTGGAGTGTTTTCGAAGGTCAGCGGCTGTGTCATCAACTCTGACTCGGAGGATTCCGACGGAGCCTTCGCTTTGTATTTGAGAGTGGTGGCATCGGTGTTGCACAACATAAGATGTCTACGGCTAGTGCACCAAAGTCGTAGTGATCTCAATAGTCGAAACATCATCGGCTGGGCGAATCTGGTCTTCGTGGGCTTGAAATCTGCTGGCGATGTACGGCATAAGCAGACGCGAACTCCCGAGACTCACAACCAGTCAGTCATGTAAAAGCTGCGACACAAACGCTAACCCGAAATCCTCATGTTCGAGGCTTCCTTTTTGAGGATGAGTGCCTTGTTCGCTGCGCAGATCCCCGGCAGCGCTTCGCTGCCAGGCTTGGCGACTGCATGGCGGTATCAGAATCATGTCACTAGTGCCAGCAGACTGCCACGAAACAGGAGCTTCTGCCGAGAGCAGGAAGGGCAATTCGAGTTCTTGGGCTGCGATGCGCTTTGCGACTTGGTAGCGTGTAATTTAGTGGAGCCAGAAGCCCTACATCCGCGAATGCAAGGTCAAGCTCCAGCAGCACCGGGTGCATTGACACCTGGCTGCCGCGAGGGCAGCCGCAACGGGGCCGAACTTCGGTATGACATCGATTACAAATGTTTACATCAGCCCATGAGCAAGTCACTAGGTGATCAAGGAAGCAGCCAGGACTGCTATGACTGCCAGAGTGCATAAATCCTTGCCATAACTGATAGCATCAAACCTATGCTTTGTGGGTGATGCAGTTGCTGCGCAGTAAAACCGCTAGGTGGGGAAGGTGTTTCAGCTGAGGCATCGTGATTGGTGGTGTTTGCACATCTGCTTGCCCAGAAGGCTTTGCAGCACCTGGACAGCAGCTCGAAGAGAGGGGTCCTGCTGATCTCACAGGGAAAGAACGGGCAAGGCTGACTGTTCTTCGAATCTAAGCAAACTGACCAAAAGTTATTTTTATGCCTGTGTGAAGGAAGCAGTGAAGGCCCGAAGCTGTTCGGAATAGGGTGCCCGCATACCCAAAAACCAGAAATCCTAAACCTTAACCCCCCTGGCCCCAAGCCGCTCTATAATTAAGCTCGTGAGGTAGGATGTGCGGGCTTTGCAAAGCTATCTGGAACTTGATCTTAAGGCCTTGATAAGGCTTGGTCTCGGACCGAAGGCTTGAGTTCTCAGGAAGCGGTCGTCGTCGCTGTGAGAGTATGGCCAAACAGTTGGGAAGAGCTCCTAGAGAATGAGGATGTTCAGAGTCTAAATGCAGTTTGCTGTCCGAAGCAGTCATAGGATCCCGAAGCAGTCATAGGACGAAACCAAGTTTCCTGATTCGGCAGAACGTGCTAGCTCTTCCCAGCTGCACTTTCTAGGGTTTTCGAGTGGGGATGTCCCCCAACGCTCAAACCATGAAAAAACAAGCAGGCGTAGGACAGTGTTCTGAAGGCCACGGTGCCCGCGCTCTTGTGCGCCTTCCGCCCGGACCAATCCTCCCTGCCTTTCTTGGAGCCACGGACGCAGCTTGCCTGCTTTCGGATTTCAGCATCCGGTCAAAGAAGGTTGGATTCAGCAACTTTCAAAAATGGTTTATGATTTTTGCAACGTGCGAGAGGCTCGGAGCCACAGTAGCCAAGTCATCGCTCTCAGCGTGATTCTTAGTAGCATCATAATCGTCAGTGTGATTCTTACCAGTCTCATGATCGTCAGTGCTGCTCATTTGTATCCATGCGTTTCGTTATGTATTCGTTATGAACACAACATTGTCATCATGAGTGAACACTACGATTGCCATCTTCCTTGGTTGGCAGATCATTCCTATCATGACATGCTTGTGACAAAAGCTCGTCTTTTTGCTCCGCCTCTCTAACAACTTAGTGGCATGTTCTTACTACTCTCTTGACCTCCCGGAGACAATCTCAAGCCCACAAGGCAAGGCTCAAGTCAGACCCGAATGGAGCTTAGGTTCAGCTGCATTCCTTTGGGCTGCGCCGCGCCGATGTGTACCGAGACAACGGCGCAACCCACATGCCGAGGCTCGTGGGGTGGTTTGTCCTTGTTTAAACTTGATTAAGGTTACAAAATGAGATTCATTGCGTGAAGTTGAGATTCCTGATTGGTACAGTATCAGGATACAGAGAGGTTCCATATGAAAGATTTAGGGCTTCGACAAGATTTTAGGGTTTAGGGTTTAAGATTGTGAGCTGCTGCGGCATTGTGGCGACCTGCCCTCGCGGCCCACACAAAGTAAATCAAGACGTTAGGCTGCGACCCGACAGGCACACGACGTGTTTCAGTTTATGGGCAGAGATATGTAAATACTACATGTAGTATGTAGTGCATGTATGCATGCACACATGCATGCTCTACGACATATAATATATATATATATGTATACACATACATATGCATATATGTATACGCACACACACACACACACGCACACTCTAAACGCAAACCAGTATAACGTGTGTATATGCATGTACATGCCTATACGCATACTTCGTGGGCTTCCCACTCCGTCTGAGTGGGCCCTGAACTGCTGTGGGCTCCGAGTCACATTCCCTCAGAACAGCAATTCGAGATTGACGTGCTGTTCTGAGGCCTCAACATGTCAGTTGTTGCAGTGCTGCGGTGCAAACTTGTCCGTGCCAAGCTTGCAGCAGGTGGCTGGCACGTGCCTCACAGCAAGCTTTGCTTGCCAAACTGTTTGCCTGGCTACGCGCCGACAGCGGCTTGGCTTGGAGTGTGGCTTAGCACGGCCTGGTGCCTGTGAAAGATGCGCATTCCGGCCTCGGATGCTTTGCTGACCCCGCATTGGCCAAGGTGCCCTACCTCAGCTGCTTTGCGGGCCGTCTGGAACCGGCCAGCTACGACTGCCGCCTCGAAGGACCGGCCGCTTTCGGAGGCTCCTCAAGTGAGCTCAGTTCACCACGGGCCCCTGCATGCCCCTACACGTCGTTTGCGAGGAGTTTCGTGCTCAGCTCCTTCTGTCCTCGGGGCTTCAAACCCTTCTTGCGTGGAAGGCGAGGCTTGAAGTGTTTTGGGGCTTTGAGACAGTTTTGAGGATCTTCCGAAGTGATTGTGAGCATACAAAATTGAGGTGCAGCGGCTGTTGAATGAACGGCTGCCCTGGTTTGGTTGAATCAAACGGTCAATCGTGCGTTGTCAAAGGACTTGAGAAGGAGTTCGATATGGCTGAGCCTCCGTTTTGAGCGAGCTCATGATGCATCACTGTCGGTGTGTGTGTGTGTGTGCATGTGCCTGGAGTAGCCAGCTGTGCCGAATCATTTGCCCGCATTCTCCCGCCGCATGGGTCTGCAGCTGACCTAGCGGTTGGTCATGCTGCAGCCCTGAAGGTAACGTCATCGTGCACGGTGGCGTGTGCACAGCGCGTTGTTCCGAAGAGCCTCGCCAGAAATTTACAAGGTTCTCTGGGTCCACACATGTCTCCACAGCCAGCAACTTCTTCTGCCCATCCGCGTCCGCATGTATTTGCTATATGTACATACAACTACATACATAATCATGTATATCTGTAATTAGGGTAGTTTTCCAGAATACATGAGAAACCTAGGCAAACCACTGTGCACCTCTGCGTGGATTCATGTATGTATGTATGTATGTATGTATGTATGTATGTATGTACGTATGTACGTACGTGTATACAATTATATACACTCCACTCCATATGCAGTTCCGCCTTACGTTCTCAAACTGTTCCTCGGTGCTCGATTTGCAAACCCAGGCCCTCTTCACAGCCACGGAGCCTACCTTGCGCTGCCAGGCAGTTTAGGGTTGATTGTTCAGCGTGCTGCTGTAGTTTGCAGAAGGGGCTGGCAGAGTACCGCTACCATCATAGTTTAGGAGGGAACAGCCTTGCCTCGTTCCCTGCATGTCCCACTGTGCGGGTGCAAGTGGATCTCATGTGTATACACGGAAGGCACAGCATCCTTTGTGCTTCATAGGACATAGGAGCGTGCAGAATGCGCGCGCGCGTGTGTGTTTGTGTGTTTGTTACATCAAGGTCTGGAGGCACAGTGTAAGTACTGGCTGCATCTTGAGCCCCACCACTGCCAACAAACAACAAACCTCGAGACCTCCTTCCATGCTCGCAGGATGTTTTAGTCGTTTAAGTCGTTTCCACGAGGACGGTATATTGACGCCGAGCACCTTTTCCTGCGCACCGCCATGCTTCCTCAGCGAGGCGACTGGAGAGTTTCGATAGTCCACGCCTAAATGCTCGGGGCCCAGGGTGTACAGCTTCATCACGCCGAAGTGCCACTGCTCTCCTTAAGTTGGCTGCCTGCAACCCCCAAGGCCCTGTGCCCTGAAGCCCCAACAAGCCTTTCGCGAGCCTGCAGGGCTTTTTCTGGCTCCAAAGAAAGCAAAATTGTACCATTCTACTTGTGAGGCTCCCGAGCAGGCTGCCTTGCCGTGGCAGCCTGAGCTTGGGACCTCATGGCGTGGCTCTGGGCTGCGAAGAACCCGCAAGCGAGCCTACATGATGTACCCAAAGGGTCCAAGTTATAGTATAGTATATACTTTGGGGGTCCAAATACCTACAAAGTAGCTACCATATTAGTACTTGGACCCTTTGGGGTAGTTGAACCGTTTCTGGAAGCATGGCTTTGAGGAGCTGTAAGCTGAGGCCTTGCGCTGAGGGACTGTCGATTCTGCACGGGGCCACGTGCACCTTCCGCTGCAACTTCGGCACCTTGGCCGCAAATTGCTACTGTTGAGCTGCTCTTCTTATGCGGGGGCTTTTTGTGAACTTTGTGCTAATGCGTCGAGTCCTGACTCGCTAGAGCCGACTTTTCCACAGTTTGATGTTCCCATCTTGCAGTCTTTGACTCTAACTCTTCCCACAGGCCCTGAAATACTCGCGTACCTTTGCAAGATCCATGTCCAATCCCCACTCTTCTTAGCTCTACTCGTAACCTCTCAGAGGCTTCGAGCCTCAACCTTCTTCTGCGAGGTGCGAGAGGCCACTTACTTTTGCAATCTGTGGGGTGTTACTTGCACGAAGGCAGCAGGGAACCGTCTCTTGGGCTGCTTGAGCGTATTCTTTCCAGGGAGCCGAGCAGTGGACAACTCTGCATTGTCTCATCGAGACCTGGTCCTATGGTGCGTCGTCTAAAGACAGCACGCAATCGCAGCTATACGGTCATGCCAGCATGGCGCGGAACGACACAGTTGCCCATGATTTCGAAGTGCAAGTGACCTTCGACCTCGCAGTTTCCTGAGCTGTGAGGGGCAGTTTTGCTACATCTGCTTCGAACGGCAACGCGTTCGTCTGCGTGCAAGTGGCGCAGGACCAATGGTTACATCTCCTACTGTTTGCGTGTCACCCTGCATGGCTGTATGGCCAGACGTCAACATTTCAAAGGTTGATCTTCTCGGCTCTTGTACACCCACCCCCGCAATGTCAGATTACACAGCTTGCTACAGCTTGTATAATTTAGTTGCACAGACTCGGTTTGAAGTCCGCTCCCTCCGAAACCGAGCTGTGGAGGTGGAGAGCGACGAGAGCTTTGTATTTCTCCAGCGCATGTGTTGTTCCTGATGCTGTGCTGGTAGTGATTTTGGTGTGCTGAAGCTGGGGCAAGAACAATTGCAGTACATGTCGACCGGGAAAGGCCTTAGGCAGGAAGCTTTGGACTCCAAAGACAGGCAACTCAAAGCTAGCATGCCTAAACATGTCTCTCCGAACACATGGTCCTGTTCTACGACGCGAGGATTGTGTCGCTCCGAGTTCAGCCTTCCACCTCGGCACCGTGGGCGAGTTCAAAACCAGTTGAGACTTCGGTTCGGGCGCTGGGGTGTTTAGTGCCTGGTTTGTCTCAGACAACTCCTGTGTCCCGGAGTGTCGAAGACTGTGCAACACTGTAGGTGTCTGCAGCGTCGAACTTGATTTCCGGCACAGTGTGCTGAGCGACACACTTCGCCGCCGACAGTCTGTAGCTCACAAGGTCACAAAATCCCTGTTGTGTGCTTTTAGGCATTGGTTACGTTGCTGCGCCGGGAGAGCTCTGTGAGCAGCTGGGCGGAGCTGTTCCCCACAGCCAGGCAGGTGTGTTCTGCATGGGCTTCTCCTCGGGACTGGACAGGTAGCTCACGGAGTCATGCATGGGCTGGCATGATAACTCCGCTGGCCTTTTGCCAGCAGACTAATGTGCCTGATGCCCTGCGTGGCTTTCTGTGGCAAGCGGGAACCCTACAGTGAGGAAGGAGAGGATTCGAAAGCAGGACCGCGAAGTCCGAAGTCATCTGAGTTGGGAAAGTAATGTCCTTCTGAGAGTGCTTCAACAGCATCTGTCCGACGATCCTACGCATTCGGTGTACTTGGAGGATTCCAGCTGGGCCAAGCCCATGGCAGTCGCAGTGAGGAACAGTGGTTGCGGCAAAGGAATGGCTTGAATCATTGCGAGTTTTGGCTATCGCAGGATCTTCCAGCCACCGACTTCTCCAAACAGAGAGTCCAAACTAACAAGTACGCCCCAAGCTGTAGCGACGAAAACTCACAGGTGCTTAAGCTATCTTCAGCTCTCCTTCTCTGTTGAAGGACTGCCGTGGTGTTTGCCCTCGAGCAGGCTACACGCCTAGCCCCACGGCCTTGCCAAGTCCTTAGCAAAACATGATGGGGATTCTCATGGTGACGTTCGCTAGGTTCGTATGGTTATATATACATATGTATATATATATATATAATATACATATATCTAGAGACAGATACAGGGAGAGCGAGAGAAAGAGAGAGACCCCTTCACCCTAGCCCTGGCGAAAGAAAGAAAGAGAGCAGAATAGTTTCGGGGACAGAGAGGTACATAGAATATATATATATATATATACATATGTAAACAAATAAATACATATATATATATATGCAGATATATGCACACGTGAAGACGTGTGCTCGACTGTCAATGAAGCAAGTATGTCCTTCAACTCTTGTGTTGTTTCACTTCGAATGAACCTGCATATCCAACTGTTGTGCTCGAAGGTCTTGCTCCGACGGCGCCCTTTCGCCTCAGAGCTTCACGTGCGGCCGCTCTTGCGACCGGTCGCGATGGACCAGGGTTTAGGGTTGCGGGCACACTGGGTGCTCTTGAGTGAGCTTTTTCGGGTTTGGAAGGATTCAGACCTCAAATCCTACGGAACAGGCGCAGGGGCTGGTTGCATTGAGTGGTTCAATGCTTGCAGTGCAAGGAGACTGCACTCTGAAATAGGCTCCCCCTTCTAGGGCATGTGTATACAGACGTGTTGGTATGCATGTTAGTTTGTGCAGCTGACCTTCTGATAATAGGTTTCCTGTGCATCGCTCGCACTGGCTGAGTTTGAATTGGTTGGCTTGACAGTCGCACAAGAGTGATTCAAGGTACAGCTGCTCCGCTGGCAGATGTACAATTTTCGAACCCTTCTGGTTGCTTGGTGTACTCAGAGTGCATTGATGCAGCCGCAGGTGCTGTGCAGGCCTTGTCACATCTGTAGGCACATTGTACGCTGCCATGCAGGATCCATAGGCCTCTGGCGAGCGCCAGGCTATAGATCTCGTTTCTTGACCCAGGAGCGTGCGAGGAGGGAGAGGAGATCGGCCACAGCCTCCGTTGCACAACGCCCCTTCATGAGAATGGTCGCAGGTTAGGGAGTTGTGGCTCGGTCTTTGTCCTGCTTAATATCCTGCAGACTGAACCGACAACCGTGCGCTGATGGTAGGAACACGACATCACATCAGGCAAGCTGGTGTCAATGTTCAGGACAGTTCTCCACTTGGGATCGGTTATGGGAGCCTGCACGACAGATTGGTTGCACTGTTATGTTGTTTGCCTGATTCGATGTTGCCCCTCTTATTCCGGCCATCGTTTTATCGTGCTCGTGTTTTGGTCTGTTTCTGTTGCTGCTAAGCCTGCTGCCCAAGAGCAACAGCCACTCTAAATCCTAAGTCCGAGCCATCCTCATAGAAACTTGAGGTCTTGTTCCGCCGGCTACGTTCCTTCCGTGGGCAGCCTCGAGTGCTACGCTTCTCGTCTATGGCCATTAGAGTGTTGAGGGTCGGGGTTTAGCAGAATCTATTCTTGGCCTGATGTTGGTTGAGCGCCTTATTGGACCTGAGGCCCGAGCCACGGGTTGCGGGATGGGGTTCTCGAAGCAGGTTCCCCTCCCCTCTTGGGATGAGCCGAGAAGCTTACCCCACTTGCGAGGATGGCGCGCTGTCGCCACCGAGCTTCGAGTGCAGGTCCGGCTGAACCCATGAGCTGATCTACCTCTATAAGCAATTCACAAGTACGCACTATAAGGGACACCGGATAGTAGTAGTAGTAGTAGTAGTAGTAGTAGTGGTGGCACTGGCTGTTGTTGTGTTCGTCATGGATTTTGCTGATGTCAGGAGGGTTTGAGGTGGTGGTAGTCGCTGGTCGAGGTGTTGGTAGCACTACGGCAGTGTTTACCATAATTGTGCCAACCGTTTCTCTTACCGTCGACGCTAATCGCCTCATGCTTGCTTCCTGGCTCCACATCCTGCCTCAAGCGTCTCAACTTCAACGTCTACTACTACTTCTACTTCTACTTCTACTTCTACTTCTACTACTACTTCTACTACGACGACGACGACGACGACGACGACGACTACTACTACGACGACGACTACGAGTACGACTTCGACGACTACGACGACTACGACTACGACTACGACTACGACGACTACGACGACTACGACTAAGACTACGACTACGACGACGACGACGCCGACGACGACGACGACGACGACTACTACTACTACCACTACTACCCCCTACTGCTGCATGCCGCTTTCACTGCTACAGCGACTTCAACTTTTGCTGCTTCTTCCTCCTCGGAATCCTTATCCTCATCCTGTTTCCCGTCATCGTCGTCCCTTTCGTCCTCACAAGAACTCGCACACAGGCGTTTCCTCCTCGGCTGCCCAGCGCCCAGCCCGGTCGCCGGTGGCTTGGCACCCAGCTGTGCTGAGGCCCGGGTTTTCCTGGATTAGCTTGTCCTGGAGGCAGAGTGCAATTGAAGGCAACTATGATCGAGATTCGTATCGCAAAGAAGCTCCCTCCTCCAAGATACGTGACAGCACAACACCGCACTGGCCTGCGTGACTTTGCATGTTAGTGTTTGGTGATCTTCCAGAGCCGGTGCACCTGTCAGCCGACCACAGGGCAGTTTCATCCCGGAGGGGTCCACCTGCACTACGAGCTGCGAGGACGGGAGACGGGATCCCGTTCTTATAGCTTTTCAGCTGAAGCACGCAAGATGACGGCTTGACGTAGACTCGCCCCCACCCAAGACAACCTGAAAGGCTGGATGCTATACTGAGGCCAAGCTATGTCCATTGAGCTTGCCAACCCAAGATAGGAGATTAGACAGGGGCCGCGCCCAGCAGGCAACTCCTTCGGTTAGTGGTCACCCCACGCAGCTACATGGCTACGGCTCAGGCTCAGGCTCTACCTGGCTCCACTTTGAGTGTCCCTGTCAGCGAGACGAGCCAATGCCATGGCCCCCTGCTCTCGAGCTCGCTGTCGCCATTGCGGCATGAGCGTGGGAATATTTGGGGTGAAGGGGTTTGGCTGGAGCCTCCGGCTACACGAAGCCAGGTGCGCTGCAACTTCAGCGGCAACCACGGTCGAGACAACCACGAGGGAACCCCCGCTTGCAGCTGGGCTCGTGGAGGCAGCAAAGACTTTGGCTTCGTGCGTGGATGTTGCAGTCGACGTCACAGTTCTTCGTGAAGAAGACTTAGTCAAATTTTTGCATGTGCCGAAGGATG